GATATAACGTTTCTGCAACGATTAATGTCTAGTTCCTTGAGCAAATTTCCTTTATTTTTTCCAGATATTCCAACTACGTAACGAAGAAACGAGGTATTGTCCTAGCACTGATAGTCTGGACATGTTGTATTATTTTTGTAGCTGGTGCGTGGTATTTCGAGTGCTTCAAGTGAGTTTACTATCCCTCACAAGCGACAGTGATTGATCTGTAAACCTCGCCAAGTTGAAGCAAGACGTTATATAGAAAATATTCTATCCATACTTTCTCCTTTTCAACCCTCAAACCCTGTTACAAGAAAGCGGAACAACAAAAATTTCAAAATTTTCGCTACTATGTGTGAAACCTGATCAAACAAAAGTGCGAAGTAGTAAAAATCTTCGAAAATTCAATAGTGCAGAATTCTGATTAGGTATGTAGAAGTGCAAAGTTTTCACATCTTAATGTTTAGATGCGAGGAAAATTGCAGTGCGATACGTCTTCTACACGAGCGATGGGGAATGTATCTCCTCTTTTCGGTGAGAATTTTGTGTTTAGTCAGAAAATCAGAAATGCTAAATGGTGGTTTGTATGAAATGTCTGATTACATCGTTTTTTAACATCAAAAGTAGCTATCATGGTAGAAGCGACATGAACCACCATTCATTTAAAATTTGGAGTAATGGCTGTCTGCAAAAGCACATAAATCAGACAATTTTTAGAGAGATTCCACGTATGACGTGTATAACCATCTTTTTTTAATTAGGAAGGAATCCGAAATAAATAGGGAACAAGGTTGTACTTTCGAAAAAACAATTATTTTTGTTCTCTTAATCCTGGTTTGGTAGAGGTCTATAAGCTGAATTCGTATTCAAGATGATGATGTTTCACCAACACTGATGTTTTCGATAGCCAAGCCATTAATTATTAACATTTAATTACTTTAAGGTGAGCGTATGTGTGGTACCTACCTTGACATCCTTGGCAGTGGCGCTCTACATAGTCAAAGTTGTTTCTACACATAGAAAGAAATTAGCCGAGGGTATGTTTCCTTAATTTATTCAACTAAAAATTTCTATCAAACAGAACACGAACAAATGAAATTAGTTCTATCTTATAACTAATCTCCATGAAATTTGTGCCTGTCTTCGTTGTCCGCTGGCCCTAAGCTTTGATCAACAACATAGAACCATTCCCTTCTATTAT